TTGTGAGCTGATTCACACAACACTCCAGTAGGACTGGTGAGTCAGTTTCATTAAGCCTCAAAATAACTCACTTATGTAAACTGAGGTGACTTTTCAAGGACAGAGAAGGGTTAAGCCTGAGTGTTGGGAGCAGGTTGTGTTCCCTCCGAGCTAAGCACAAGAGTGAGGGGCCTTAGCTTTCAAGAGGAGGGATTTAGATTAAATTCTAGTAAGTGCTTCTTGATTGTAAAGGTTTTGAGCTATTAGAGCACATGAACAACAAAACTAACAATAACTTATCCAGGGGTTTTATCTTTCCTGCACAGATTTCATAGAAAGAAATGACTTGGATGACATCAAATAGTAACTTCCCCAAACAGTGATTCCTTCCTCTCTCCTTTCCTTTCTAAAACAAAATTGTATTTTAATTGTATATCTTTCTCCCTTCATCCAGTTATCCCCTAGACTTTTGGGAGGCTAGAGCCAGGAGAATGGTATTTTTGAAAAGCTGGGCAAATGATTCCCTTGTTCGGACAGGGTTGGGACCAACCAGCTTCTTGGATAAAAAAGCCCCATAGACTGGAAGGGACTGGTTGCAGGTCTGTGATGGGATCCAGTGTGATAATGCTGTCCTGTTTACTACCACCTTGTGGTTGCATCTTCCATTATGATCCACAGGGCCCTGGCTGAGGTAAATGGAGGAAGCTCTCTCTCTATCAGTCTTACAATAATTTTATTAAGTTCTTGAATGGAGTGATCTTAATCTTAGTGTCTTACAGAGTCTCTGAATGTTACATCTTCTATTAGCTTCTTACTGCACCTTCTCATGAGAAAATAAGGGTCAGTTGCAGAGCCTTTCTATTACAGTACCCCACCAGAATCTTCTGCTACTCAAGAGTTAAGAACAGTTATTGACATAATAAACAAAAGCATTTTTTTAGTACCAAATGCATTAGCACCATCATTACACAGATAATGCCAGTGAGGCCTAAGTAACTTTTAAGGCCACATAACTTATGAATGATAGAGCTTGATTCAAAGCTAAGACCATCTGGCTTCCAAGCTCATGTTCATGGTAGCAGGATCTCAAGTGAACTTGAGACTGGCAGCCAAGAAGAGACCCTCAGCCAGGAGATGCTCATGCCTGGGGCTTTGACCTTCTGAATTCTAAGGGAAGAAGGGGACTGGTGAGAAATTTTCCGCAGTGGTGAAGGAGGCATTAAAGGAGTCAAATCTTGAGAGCCCACTGGGAACGCTGTTACTAAGGGGACATCCCGATCAGGCTGTTCAGTGGCGGGACCTGGGCTACCTCCCCTCCCCTGAGGGCTGTCCGTTTCTAAGACTCATTCTCCAGCTCTCCCACCTCCCTCACATCAAACCGTTGAGATACTGGATATCCTTCAGGAATTTCTTTTTTTTCTTAAATTTGAGTTAATTTATGTTGCTTGCCACCAACAACCCATACTGACAGAGACTGCCACACTTTAGAACTTATAAACAGACAAATTATAAATTATATCAAGACTCTTGATACATATAGGTATCTTTCCTTAATTTTTGTTATCTTACATTTTAGCTTCTCAAAATCTCGGTCATATTACAGAAAAGGTTTTTTCTTCTCTTTTAACTTACATTCATCTCACTTTCAAACTCTCTTTATGATCTACTTTTCTGATTTATTTATTTGACTGCTTCTCCAGATTTCTTTCCCCAGCCAGGTGGGCCACATATGGAGTCTTTAACACTTCTGCCAGCTCTCTCTCTGGGGGTTCTGCACCTTGGTTTCCCTAATCATAACCATAATTACCTTGTACTTTTACAAGGTATTTGCTATTTAATTTACATAGCATACTGTTCAATTAGTGACTTAGTCACAGTCAGCTTAAAGTTTCTATACTGCTCCAATTTAGAAATAGAAAAAGAGAAGCATTGCCTTTTAAAAATTTAACTGGTTTATATCAAAATAGAAAATGAGTATTTTAATTCTTTCATCACTTGTATCTTCTATGACCTTGAGTTAGGTTGTTACAATCTTTTCTCTTGCAATAGCACTTCTAAAGCTCCAGGGTATGCATGGACTATCTTTGGTTATTATGACCCTGACATAAAGGGCTACATTAGCTGTTTTTGATAAAACAAAGTAACAAGGAGGAAGAAATATGCTAGTTAAAACTACGAATAACAGAGCTGCTTTTGCCCCTAAGGAAGTGGCATGATTTTTCTCTGGAGGCTTTTGTTTAAGAAAATATTTAATGGTCTGACCTTGGGAGCTAATGCTTACATGATTTGGAAGGAGACAGCAAAACAGAAAAGATTGATAAATTGGCTGCAAATAAAATGAAGAGAAACTGAATGGTAGGAGCCGCCCAGAAGTGAGAGGAATAGATGAGGTCTGCAATATGGTAGAAGGCTGCCCAAGTAGAAGGGAAAACATTCTTTTGAGATGGGGATGGTTGAGGGACTTAAAAGGCTGGACCGTCTAACACTTAATTTTAAGTAGTCTGTCCCAAACCTCCAGTAAAGAATGCTACATGTCCCCTTGATTTAATGACTTTTTGGGGTGTGAATGGGTGGGGTTGATTGCCAACCTAGGGAGCAGAGATCTCAGATGGGATAAGGGAATAGGTGCAGAGGGGTAATAACTCAGTAATTGACATGAAATAGCTACTCTTTCCCTAAATAGACCAGAGGAAGGAGAACTCTGAAGGAGGAATAAAGGTGGCCTGAAAGAACTCCAGTTGTAATTGTTACTACATAGCGGACATTTCAGGGAAGAAACTGACCAACTAGTGGAGCAGAAATGGAGACACTGGAAGAACTGTTGCAAAGAGAAGATCAGCCCCATGAAAAAACAAAACAAAACAGAAAAAAGAGCTGGATCTCCTCCTGTTTTCCTCCCTGTCTTCTGCAATGCTGAAATGTGTCGGGTCTATTATTTCTCAGAAAGTAAAGCTCTTCAGTGTGTAACCAAATGATACGTATTGTTTAGCACCACCCAAAGTGACGTGAGCAGGTTCAAGGTATTTTTCTATAAAAGCATTAGTGGAAAGCAGAAAATATAAAGGAATATTCAAACATCTAGCAGAAATGTAACTACAATTTTTAGAAGTAAATTTCTTAGTGGGAATTTGCCATGAAAATTATTTCCTTAGAGATGATGGGTGCAGAGGCTGTAATCTCCTATTTTACACTCATGTTTATGATTCCAAATAGATGATTTATATGATTGTAATTCTAAATTCTTAATATAATAGGTCTTATTAATCTCCTTATGACTAAGAACAACTTTCAGATTTTAAAAAATATGATTAAACTTCATTCAAGTGGGCAATTCCATAACTGGGATTTCTAATATCTAGACTAGAGAGATAAAATGGTTGGGAGGAAAGACATGAGGGATCTTAGAAAATTAAGACAGAGAATTAAGACAGAAGGAGAATGAACAGAATGACAGGATAAAGAAGGAAATGTTGAAAAAAATAAAGTTGATGAGAATTACTTTTTAAAGCATTTGAAATAATATATTTTTTTCAACTTATGGTTGAGATAAACTCTCACCTTTAGGGGTAACACAAAGAAAATTTCTGCCTGAGAAGTAAGGATGGCTACTTTACTTTAAGCTAACTCATTACATTATGCAATAGCTGATCAATAATTATGAACATCTACGCTATAGTAATGGTATATCACCACTATGACAGAAAGCTAAGGTGTCTTACAGTAGTTTTGAAATGAGTTTTTTGGTTTAATGTTGCTATATTTGAGTACTGGAAGTTTATATGCAATTCAGAATATAGCATTACTCACTCAGTTCACAGTTAAAACTTTGAATACAGAATTTTATCGTATTTTTAAGACATGTAGTTTACTGTAGAATAATGGTGGCTATTTAAATCTAACACTCCCTACACCTTCTCTGAAAAACTATGCATATCAAAAAATGATAGTAAATAAATCATCCATAATCCATATGTAGAGCACAGGTAGGAGGTGGTGATTCCTAGCACATTAAATTATATGTAAGGAAGTAAATACATATGGAGTTAATACCATAAAAGCCAGGGCCATAGCCTAGTGGATGGAAAGTGGGTACCGAGTGACAAGCTATCAGATGCCTAGGAAGAAGACTCCCCCAGAATGGAGGTGCTTGAGTATTTTTCCAAAAGAAGGCATTTGGATATTTTCAACATAGCATTTTCCAGCTTATAGATTGCTATGCTGACTGGAGACCTGGTGAAAGACTATAAAAGCCTCTTAGGTTATAAAACAAATTCGTATGAACTGAAAGCTGTTCATTACATTCAACATGTCATTTTGCTTTCTGTTCCTCATTTAAAAATAAATTGTATAATAAAATAAAATAAGTGAAAACATTACTCATTAGTGAAAACACTCGAAGTAAGGTAATACAGTGAAAGGAAAGAAACCTATTGGATAGAACCAAAGGGATCAGATAAAAATCGACACCACTAAACAATGTAAGAAGTGAGTGCAAATCAGAGTATGGATTGGAAAGGACTTAAAGACTTTTTTCCAGGTTTTTTGAGGTATAATTAACAAATAAAAACTGTGTGTATTTGTATGATGATTTAATACACATATACATTGTGAAACAATTACAATCAGATTAATACATCAATCACCTCACATAGTTACTATTTTGTGTGGGTGTGGTGAGAACACTTAAGATCTACTCTGCACAAATTCCAATTATACGATGTAATCGCATTAAGTACAGTCACCATGCTGTCCTATTTTTCTTCCCTGTTGGTGGCAGACTCACAGATATATAAACATCCTCCCATTGATTCTTAGGTCCGTGACCCGAAACTTTGGTGCCTCCTCTGCTCCCAACCCTGCCCCTCTCAGTCTAATAACGGGTCTCATCCCTCTGGGTTGCAACTGTGACTTTCTCCAGATAAGCATTTCCAACATCCAACCCCATTCACACTTCCACCCTCACCCACTACCTATCATCCCAGACTATTTCAGGTGACTTTTCCCACATTTAGTGACTGAACTTAGCTCATCCTCACCCTTTAATTACATCGTTATTTCCTGTTGACTTACCTTTCAATAGACTGTAAGCTCTACTTGTTCATCTTTATGAATGCAGTGTCTGTCATGGTGTCTGGAACACGGCAGGTGCTCAATGAATATTCGCTGAATGAATACCCCTGATCGCCACAAGAGAAGGAGTTGAGTACACAATATCGAAACGTTCAGTGAGGTGCACTAAAATATGACCACAGTTGTGATTACTCTTTCTGTGAACTGAGGCAGAAGCACTCAATTAGAAGGAAAGGTAATTGGATCCATTCTCTGCAAATTGTACCATCACTGTAGATGGAATTAGATGAACTGCTTTGAGGATATCATACTATTCCATGTCTGACATCTAATCTGGCATTTCCATGCCTGTTGCAGCCATCAACACAATTTGGACTTTAACAGATTCTTGTAAAAATAGTTTTTAAATTATGGATCTGTAACTTCAGTTCCTGTTATTTCATCCAATCTTTACCACACACTGCAGCTACCAAACTTCCACCAAAAACAAGATGACCATGTTGCTCTTCTAACCAAGAATTTACAGTCAGTGACTCTACCCTGCACACACATCTTATTGACAGTAAAGAAAATTATCCAACTTATTACAATTTTCATCCTTCCTTCTTTTCTTAATAAATTAAACAATTACACTGGTGAAATTCACATAACATAAAATTGACCATTTTAAAGTGAACAAGTCAATGGCATTTAGTTCATTAAGAGGTCATACAACCACCACATCTGTCTCTGATTCCAAAACATTTCATCACTCCAAAAGGAAACTCCACACCAATCAGGCAATTACTCCCCATTCTCCACTCCCCTGGGGACCACCAACCTGCTTTCTGTCCCTATGGATTTAACTCTTCTGGATACTTCATATAAAGTTGTCCCTTGAACAATGTGGGGGCTAAAAGTGCTGACCCAAGTGGAGTTGAAAAGATGCATGTAACTTCTGACTCCCAAAAAACTTAACTACCGATAGCCTACTGTTGACTGAAAGCCTTGCTGATAACATAGTCAGGTAACAGGTATTCTGTATGTTATATGCATTATATACTCTATTCTTACAACCAAGTAAGCTAGAGAAGAGAAAATGTTTTTTTCAAATTTTCACAAATTTCCAAAAATTTTTCTGATAATAGTTATTGAAAAACATTAATGTATAAACGGACCTCTGCAATTCAAATCTGTATTATTCAAGGGTCAATGGTATATGGAATCAAACAATATTTAACTTTTTGTGTCTAGCTGCTTTCCCTTAGGATAATATATTTGAGTGTCATCAGTGTTATAGTACCTAGCAGTAGTTTATTCCTTTTTGTGACCAAATAACATTCCATTGTATGGATATGTCACTTTTGTTCATCCATTCACCTATTAATTGACATTTCGGTTCTTTATGGCTACTGTGAGTAGTCTGCTATAGGTATGCACGTATATGTAGTTGTTTGAGTACCTATTTTCATATCTTTTGGATATATACCTAGGAGTGGAATTTCTGGGTCATATGGAAATCCTATGTTTAATTTTTTAGGAACTGCCAAACTATTTTCCACAGTGGCTGAACCCTAACACTTTCACCAGAAATTTTTGAGGGTATTAATTTCTCCACATCCTTGCCAACACTTGTATTTTTTTTTTATTATGGCATCTTAGTGGATGTGAAGTAGTAGCTCATTGTAGTTTTAATTTTCTTTCCCCTAATGGCTAATGATATTAAATATCTTTTCATATGCTTTGGAGATATGTCTATTTCAGTCCCTTGCCCACTCTTTAGTTGTATTGTTTGTCCTCTTATTATTGAGTTCCGAGAGTCTTTGTGTATTCCGGATACCAGATCCTTGTCAGATATGATTTACAAACATTTTCTCCCATTCTGTAGGTTGTCTTTCACTTTCTGGATAATGTCCTTGGATACACTGAAGATTTTTATTTTGCTGAAGTTCAATTGATGTATTTTTAAAAATTTTATTGTTTGTGTTTTTGTTGCATCTAAGAATTCAGTGCCAAATCCAATGTCATATAGATTTACCTCAATGTTTTCTTCTAAGTGTTTTATAGTTTTAGCTCTTATATTTAGGTCCTTTATATATTTTGAGCAAGTTTTTATATATCGTGTGAGAAAGGAGTTTCCCTCTTCTTTTTATACAATTTACCATTCAGGAAAACAGAAATGCCTTCACCCAGAATAAATTCATCTCCAAGCCTTTATTATATTCTTCTGTCTACAATGACTTTCCTTATAGTCATCCTTACCTGGGCTTACATTACCAGTCACTCAATGTGCTCCATAAATACAAATTCTACTTTGTATTTCTTATACTCCTGTATCTTTCTCCACTTCTCAACTTACCAAATTAACAGAAATAATTTCTTCTCTATCAACTCTCATAACCTCTCTTATGGTACTAATTCATAATTTATTTATTTATACAAATAATTATCCATACATTCAAAAATTAAAGAAATGATTAGTGGGTACTTACTCTTGCTCTGCTAAATACTAACCCCTTTTCAAAACCTGTCATTTACTATGTATTTATGAAGATGTCTTCTTTTTCCTACTAGTGTGGCAGTTTTAAACACAGGAGTATCATCTCATTGACCTCTCCATCTCTCACAAGACTCACTCAGCAACTGGAGTGAATTAATGAATGCACAAACTGATCATTGTCTACACATTGTCAATATAAACAATTGTCTCTAAATCCTCTGACCTCATATATTTTCTGCCAATATAAAGGACTGATCTCAGCTTAGATTAGGGAAGTTTATACACATTTTCCCAAAATGTATCAAATTTGCTGTAACATCTCCCCTTTGGCCCCCTTCTCCTCCTTCCTTTGTAAATGTGATTTTCAGTTTCCCCAGGGTGAGAATTATTGCAGGAAGATAACCAGCTATTCTCTGGCAGAGAACCCAAAGAATGCAGGATTACTTCAACTCACTTGCTTACAGATTTTATATAAATGATTTTGCCAGTCTCCTTTGAAGTTTGAGTAAAGCCATTTAACAAAATGCCAATATAAGAAGTTCATACATCTTTAAGCATTTCCTGAATATTCCTTAAGTAAGGACTAGAAGAAGTTTGATAGTTTTGTTATTTTGCGTGCGTGTGTGTGTGTGTGGTATGTACCTTATCCACAGTGAACAGTTTTTCAAAATTTTTATCTAAGTAGCCTTGAAGCAATGAAAATGGCCAGTAGAGATATAGGATTGATAGTTTCCAACACAACATCTGACATTTCAATCACATTCCACGTCAAGTAAAGACACATTGCTGGATCTTTTCTAGGTCTTTGAATTTTTTGAATTGATATATTTTGATTACCTATTTTCTCCAAGCTACATAATTGTCCTCAGATAGAAAATTTCTTAATTTAAATATCATTTGCTACACAGTATTGGTAAAATAAAAAAATTGATTTGAAAAGAGAAGAGAGAAAGGTGACAGGCATTCAGAAAATAAATACTGTTGGTGTGCTGAAAATAAAGTGTAAGAGTTATGATCTATTAAATACTACATTCAATTTAATTTAAAGTAAAATCCTGATAACAGTGTCCCTAATTAGGTGGGTATTTCTGGTTTCTCTTGCTTCCCAGCATAACGTCCCAAAGCACTTGCTGATTTTTAGCAGTGCGTTAGATGGCAGTGTTCACATAGTTTAAAAGGCACTTACTGCAGTCGTGTTATTGCAGATCCAACCAGTCACCTTCATTTGGGATTTTGCACCATTCCAGTCTTCAAAGCTGCTATTTTCCAGGACTCCTTTTATGCCTTTGGTGCAACTAGGGGAAAAAAAAATAAGAATATTAGTAACTGGGGATATCCTATGATAAACATAAAAGTATGTCTTTCTGAATCCTTATGCCTTACTGAGCAAAAAGGACACATGGCAGATCATACCTGTTTCTTACAGGTAAAGTTCACAGAAATTCACATTGCTGTCATTTGCAACTACAAAACCGTCTATGCTCACCTCAAAGTAAAGGTATATCTTTGTTATTAAGAAACTTGCAAGGTTTAAATCACATTCTTTCTTACAAATTGTTCCTAATTTAAGTCTTGGCTGTTGTTTTCCTTATTCCTTTCCCCTTTGTGCCTTTATCGACTTTGAAAAGAAAACCTCTATTCTAACCCTCCATGTGCTTCTATTTATTTTTATTCTCAGATCCAATAAGCATAATTTGCCCAGTTCCAAGCTTGATTAACTCTCTTGGGGCAGAGTCCATTTGGCACATGGACCAGATGCCAAATAATTTACTATGTCTTACATGCCATCAGGGAAATATTTCCAAGGTCTAAGTCAAGATGCCTTTTCACATTAGGGCATAGCTAAAGAAATTTAGCTCAAAAAAACAAATCCCCAAGTTACTGTTTTTCTCTAAGTAGTTGAATGGTCTCCCTTCTCCAATTTCTATTGCCCAGCAAAGTCTGTTTTCTAGTTTTCCAGAAACACTGGGACCTCTTGACCTGGGAAGGTAGGATGCCATGTGCTAAATTCACTTAGACTAAATTTAGAAGCATCTTTTTCCCTACCCCAAGTGAGATCAAGCAGTCTGCATGGAGAGCACACGCAGGATTTTGAGAACCAAGGGCTTAGAGGTCAGAGGGATGAAGAGAGTTTTGTAATACCTGGATTTAACCCTTTTTATTCTTTCCAGAAACACCAGAGATTTGGGCTATACCTAATAAACATTCAAGTGGAATAAAATCCTTTTGGAAGGAGGAACTTGCAGAATATGTTATATAAATATCATCCAACTGTGAATAATAATGTATATCTATAGTTCTTTTTCACATAAAGATAGACGCAATAGATTCTCTCATCCTATTTTGTAGATGAGGAAAGTGAGACTCAGTGACGTACTTGTTCAAGTTCACAGATCTAAGACGAACACAACTTCCAACTTCTGGTTTAGTCTTTTCATCAAACTCTGAAAGCTCGACCAAATCCAGTGCAATTTTTTTTTCTGTGTAACAATCTGGATAATGTATTTCTTATTTAAACATTGGCTCAAATTTCTCTTGACTTATTTGTTTGGGGCAAAGCTAGAGGTAATGCTCTCCTCTGGTCACAGGAAGCCCTCATAGGGAATAATTGTAGAGGCTCACTTTCTTCTTAGCTGGTTAAATTGCCATATTACTCCCCATTTAATTTGAAAACTTTTAGGAGTCTCTCTCCTCTGGATAAAGATTTTTGAAGGTGTGGGCAGTGTTTTAGAGCATTCATCTCTTAAAGGAAGACCAAAAGCACAGAAATTCCCTTTAAGTGAGTTTCCAGGAGAAAACAAAAATTTACGAATTTGCGATAGACTACATTTGCTTTTTAATACCCACCATATGTCTAGTTTTATTCAGGGACTAGAGGAGTGGGTTAGTGCTTATTTTCACAGATTATATAAATAACAGCCCACTATTGCTTATTTCTTCTAGGTGATGATATTTTGGACTGTACTAAATAAAATGCAATGGAAAAACTTAAAACCATCCTTAATTATTAACAGAGACAGTCCACTAATAGGTCTTTAGTTAGTGCCTGTAATACTTGGGCTGTGAGGTTTTAGAGTGTGGATTGTTTAATAACCAGAGACAAAGGTGATTGCTTTCAGGGGTTTCAATATTAATATTTCCATTTCCTGTTGTCTTGCTCTCCCGTTGGTTTTTTTCAGGCTTTGCTTAATGACCTATAAATCTAAAACTGAGTTTTACCATAAAGGGCCAGCAACATCCTTCCTATTTTTCTGTTTTATTTTCTTCTCTATCTGTCCCCTTTTAGGACACCAAGCACCAACCTCCCCATCTTCCTTTCCCTCTCTCTCAGTGGTGGAAGTGCAAATAGATGGGGCCCCGTTTAGTGCCCAGAGGGAAGGAAGGCACTCACGTTTGTAGAGAGCTCTCATGTCCAGGCACTGTGCTAACCTGTTACATATGTGGTGGTATAATATTTCAAAGTGCTAACTCTCCGGTGTAACTGCCAATTCTCCCCAGCTTGGCAGCTAAATGGAAAAGCAACATGGCCGTGGGGACGATTTACAGTGGGGAACAAAGTTCTTTAGCTTTTGAGTTCAAAGGGCACCATCTGGGTATGAGAAGGGAACATTTTTGAAAAGGAATGCAGGGAGAACAGGTTTTTCTTCCTAATTTGAGACTAAAGAGATTAAGGAGCCTGGAGCTGGCAACCAAGTCACCTCCAAAGTCGTCCAGTTCCCAAAACACTGGACTTGATGTGACTTTTTACTTTCTTTCCTTGAGATGTGTTTGATGTTTTGTTTCCCAGGCCACCCAGAATCAGCAATTTTGCAAAGAGTCCCAGATGGAGGTTACTTCTTTGGGATTTGTTACAAAAAGGGAACAGTTGAGTACAAAGGACATTGACGAAAGAACTGAAAGAACATTTTAGTTGAAGTGTTTACAGATACACTGTTTGGTAGCGGACTTAAATCTTGCTACTCTTCCTCATCTGAGAGTTAGTAACAAACAGATCTTGTCAAGCCTACTTTCTTGATCCTTCTTCCCTCTTTCAGAAGGCTTACAGGCTTCCGCTTGATGCCTTCATTTTAAGGAGTATCACTATGAGAGCTTTCTAGCCTTGGTGGCAAATCCTTGTAAGTTCCCCGTGTTCTTTAAATGGCACTTCTCTTGCCCACCCCCGTGTCCTCACCATCTGCAGTCCGGCTTTCAGTCAGGGCCCCTCTCTCCCTCCCACGCCTGCCCCAGCACGTCCTATGTGCCGCACACTCTCCCGGTGGCTCTCCCCTGGAGTTCTCTGGCAACGAGCAAGGTTGGACAGGGTAAGGTAGGCGTGGGTGTGGGAGAAGAGGCTGTTATTTACACTCTTCAGAAAGTTGTCATTTTGGCATGAAAAATTTGACTTTCAGGAGTAGAAGAGTTTAGTATACTGCTAGGAGGAATCCTCCCTACTTCCTCCTTCCTCAGAAAACAAGCCCGACCCCAATCTCAGTACTTCCTGAGTTTCTAATTTTAAAGTGTGGCTGAAGCAGTCATCTTCAGAACAGCAGTAACCACCAGCTGCTGGCACTGCAGAAGGAGAGATGAGCTTTTCAGTCTCTATTGCTCATGGTAAGTTAGCTGTTTTAGTGGTTTGGCCACTGTGCATGAACTGCACTAGATGCGCTAGATGTTAAGGTCTTCGGTTCACACGCAACCAATCCCCTGCGCCGATGTCACCTCGGACAACAAATCGTTTGTCTCTGTCTCAATTCTCATCTGCAAGATTTATTTCTATTGCTTCTGAATTAGGATAAAATGAGATGAATTAGGATAAAATGATATGCAAACTTGTTCAAGATAAGGATACTTTTAAAATAAAGAATAGTGGTATTGTTCTAAAGAGACACTATGATAAAAATATCCTCTCTTTTATTGAAGACTAATAGACTCAAAATATATGTACTATTTAGAATGGACTGCAAAGCAAATCCATTTTAGGAAAGTAAAATTTGAGCGGTTATTGACAACTTCATATTGCATAAATTATTTAAACCAAAAAGTTTTTGTAGAACTGAGCAAATTGTGTTCATTATAAGTTATATTCTTTCTTTTACTTTGAAAGTAACAGTCAGGCAAATTAAAATCCATTGTGCAAGGAAAGTGAGTACAAAGAACAATGACTGTTAGATTCGTGCTCCTTCATAAGAGTTCTTGTTTAGTTCCAGTTTTTAGAAAAAGTTCTCATTTTTTATATTTGCTGGTGACAATCAAATGCAAGAAAACAATTTTAAAGAAAAAATCTAAATAAATATTTTAGAGGATATGCAGATTTATTTTCATTTTCACAGATGGTAATATACCAAAGTTGGTTATAATGTACTTATTTCATTCAGAACAATCCCAGTTGAATCTTTCCTTCATACTGAAAAAACATACTTTAAGTAAAAAAGTATGCTTTCATGTCAGGATGCCTTATGTGGCCTATATTTTGAAATTGATAGATGATATACATAATCTTTTCTATCTTGTTAAAAACAAAAAATCAGATTGTAAGTTTGTTTCTTTCCAAATGTTGTGATGTGACAGGAAAATAGAAGTGTTGGTCAAGGATTGAGGCTGAAGGACTGATGTAGTTCATAGTTGCAACATGTGAAGGCAATAGGCAAAACTGAATGCAGAAAGAGCATTCTTGCACTTCCATAGGAAAATGATGGAAAGTGGGAGAAAACCTGATTTGCCTCAAATGCAAAGCTATCTCAGGACTCTGTTAACTAGATTCCTTGGATGAGATTCAGAAGTATCACATCTCTCATGTCACTCCCCCACCACAAACATTTGCACAGCTGATGGAAATTTAAAGCTGTATGTGTAATGACAACAATATTTTAATTTAGAATTTTACATCTGATTAAAGACACAGCACTATCGTTCAGTTTGTTCCATGTAATGGTGTTTTTTGGTAAATATTTCTATCTACTGTACAGGATTATAAGCAGTTTTGAGGTACCTCTCTCTCCCCCACTTTATGAATTGTATCTCTGTTAAGACTTACCACAGCAGCTTGCTTATTGTGAAGCCTTAATACTTTTAATTAATATTTAAGAAATGAAATGTATGCAGTTTACATGGTGTCCATTTACTGAAAACTATAAATATATGTTCAGATCAAATAGAATACCAATCACAGAATCATCCAGGTAGAAGTATACATAGACAACTGAAAATAATGTAGTGAAAATCTCAGAAAAATAAATACTCCTTTTAAGAGAACAATCTTGCTCTGGGAAATACAAGAAGCAAGTATCTGCATATACCAGAGATGTCCAGGTATCTCTATGTGCCCCCTGCTCTCTCTTCCCCAATTCTCTGCCTTTCTTGGTCTTTTAGGAATGCAGCGTCTATGAGAATTTGTGTACAGGTTTCTGTGTGGCTATAAGTCTTTATTTCCCTGGAAGTCAAATTGCTGAGTTGTAAAGTAAGTGCATGTTTTGTTTTGTATAATGATTCCATTTTGACCTTGCTCATAGCTCTGTAAATATTCTCTTTGTAATCCTTTGAGTTAGCCATCTTTTTTTTTTTGTTGGGACTTATATACTGAAGTTGGAGAAAAGAAAAATGCTGGAAATGTAAGAAGTCTCCAAATTCTGTAAAAATTGTTCAGCCATCGGTACTCTGCATATAAATATATCTGCCACAATTTGGTTACCATGGAGAAGGAGCTGAGGTGGGTGGGTGGGAAGGGTAAGGGGATAAAGGGGCACAAAAATTCTCAATCATAATATAAATTGGTCTTGGGATGGTGGTACAGCACGGAGGATGGAGCCAATGATTCTGTAACATCTTCCTGTGTTGACAGATAGCAGCTGTAATAGTGGGGGTGAGGATTTAATAAAATGGATAACTGTTGAACCGCTTTGTTGCATACTTGAAACTAATATAAAATTGATATTAATGATGCTCCAATAAAAAATAAAAAATAAAAAAAAAATAACTAAATAAGTAAATATGCCACCATTAAAAAAAACCTCACAACTGCAAACATAGGATAAGAAAGCTGGGCAAAGAAAATAATTGTCTTTTCCCACCTATCGTAAGAAATCCAATGTAACATTATTTTCTGAAATAAATCATCAAAGCTTAATTTGGTTATATCTACTAGCTATTGTCTTCTATGGGTCATGTGGATTCTACACATAAAATAAAAACATCAGAAAGCTATAAAAATCAAATTAACAGTAAAAATGAGTATCACCCACAAGTACCTGATTGTGTGGCCTCAGGAGCACGCCTGAGATGCCCAGCACACTGCATATATTGTTAGAAAGTGCAGAGGTAATATATCATCCTACGGTACAATCCTGATGTTATGGGATGCTCTGAGCCCCTTCTCCAAAGTGCCACGTATCATTAATCATTCATTCATTAATGCATTCCATAAATATCTGTTGATCATCTACTATGTAAAATGCACTCTATAGAGAAGCAAGGTATGTTTCTATGCTCCAAGTTAATTCTCCGAGGACAGAATAATTCATCAGAAGTAGCTTGGGATATCATCCAAACACTAGCAAATATGTTAACGAACTTTAAGAGAGGAACTCTGTGCTTGGATTTAATTACAGAATTACAGTATTTATGTGACAAATACTGGAATCAGACAAATTGGCCCCAAAATAAAAGCTTGATTTTACAAGGTCTTGGAGATTACTGGTTAAATAAAAATGCTGATTATAAAAATTTTCCTACTGACTATCGTGTATGGGTGATACAGACTTAGATACAAAATTTCTAGATCTTATTAAAAGTCATGTATTAGTTTAACATAAGATCAGAAACTTGACATGCTATATTGCACAAAAGAGTAGTGTAGATAAGGAAATAGCTCAAAGATAGAAAAAGGTACAGATACCATTATTACTCTCCAGAATGCAGAGGACTAGAAAGTGGACAGGAATTAGAAGACCTAGACAAAGTCAGCCTCTAGCTGTGTATACTTTCCCGCTGTGTGTAACCTTTGGTAATTCAAAAACCTCAGGTATCCTCCCTGCCTCCGTCTCTCTCTTCCCCCACCCAGATAAAGTAAAAAATAATGGGATCATACCTGCCTTCACAAAGTAACTGCCCTTACTGCATCAGATGGTTGGAATGGTCAAAATGAGAAGCTGTATATGAAAAAAATGGTTAAAGACATCCACATATACCTGTGTAAACAAACAGCATGATTTCATACAAACAGTTACACTTACTCCTGCCAGTTTTCCATTCATTAAAATGCATGGAAACCCCTTTTGAAATGTCATTATTATGACTACTTTCTGTGTCTCATAAAATAATCTATCTCATTATGTTACATTCCCATTTTGGTCAGACCACCTTTCCTTGCTTTAATCACCCATTTTATTCATCAGATGGCTTAAAATTACCTTTGATTTTTTTCAACAAGTACAGTTAAATCCTCAAAGAAGAGAACATTTGTCATTACTGAAGATACTTGAATTTGCCTCATGCTTTTAAATCAACTTTTTAGTTTATTACATACATGTACTTCTCTCTCTATATAAAGCCATGTAACTCTTAAGCATAAAGCTTACTCAATTTTCACAAAATCAGAACCCAGGTCAGGAAATAGAACACTACTGGCCCAAAGGCCTCTTTTTTGCCCTCTTACAGTTACTAATTCCCTTTTTTATCAAAAGTAACTACTACCAGGATATCCATCAATGTAATTTACATAGAGGAACTTTATACAGGTAGGATCACAAGGAATGTATACTTTTGTGTTATTTACTCAAAATTGATAATTATCCAGGTTGTTGCACATATTGGTAATTTGTTCATTTTCACATGAAAATAAGTTGATTGAATACTATGAATATGCCACCATTTTCCATTGTGATGGTTTGATGACCATTTGAGGGGAACATTAACCAGTTTGGGGCTATTTCAAATAGCGTTGCTTTAAACATTTTTGTACATGTTTTTGATGAACATATGTATGCATCTTTCTTGAGTACATTCTTAGGAGTGGACTTGCTGCATTAATGGAAATCTGTATTTTCTATTTCATTAGGTACTACCAGTTTTCAAAAGTGACTGTATCAATGTGGACTCGCATTATTACTGTATAAGAGTTCCACTTTTTTTAATGATGTATTACTTAAATTCCAAACATAGGGTGGAATTTATAAGTGATTTGATTGTTACTGATTCTGCCTCTCTTTACAGTCAGAGAAGACATTCTTCCTGATTAAAATCCTTTGAAATGTGTTGCAGCTTGCTTTATAGGCCTGTATATGGCCATTTCGATGACTTCTCAATGCTTCCTTGAAATAGAACGTACATTCTGCAGTTGCTCATGCTTTACTGTATTTAGGTCAGTCAGGTCAAGTGTGTTAAAATGTTCAGATCTTCTACAACGTTAATGATTTTTTTTTTTGCCTGATTTTTCTTTCTATTCTGAGGTAGGTATTTGAAATCTCTTACTATGACAGTGTGACTCACTATGACTTACTATGATTTCTTTTTTATAGTCTGGCAATTTTTTCAGTATATATTTTGAGGGTATATATTTGTAGGTACATATAAAATCTAAGAGTTGTTTTATTTACTTTGTGGGGGAATGTGAGGGAATATCTCTTTTTATGTTTAGTAATGTTTCTGACCTTAAACTGTACTTTGTCTGACAGTAATTTGTATATTCTAGTTTTCCTTCAGTTAGTGTTTTTATGGAATACTTTTTTTTCATGCTTTTACTTTCAACCTTTCTTTGTCCTTTTGTGTGTCTTTATAAATGTGTCTTTTAAACAATATTTATTTTGGATTTTTAAAATCCAGTCTGGTAGTATCTTTTCTAAGATTTACAGCACTTACTCTGCTAACTTGGTGTGTGTGGTTTTGCTTTTTGTTTGCTTTTCATTTTTTATTGAAGTGAAATTTACATAGTGAGATGAATCTTGCATGTGTGTAATATGCCAAATTTTTACAAATCTGAAGTCTGGATAAGCAACACTTTAAACAAAATATAGAACCTTTCCATCATCCCCAAAATTTCCATTGACTATATTACAAATCTCCACTCCCACAAATAACCATTGTGCTGAGCTCCAGTGCCATAGATTAAATACATACTTCATATAAATGAATTATGCAGCATGTAAGCTTTTATGTATAGTTTCCCTTGCTCCACATGATATATGACACATGCTTAGCATGTATCAGTAGCATATTTTATTGCTGAGAATTACACTGAATGATTCTTTTCCTGCTGACATGTAATTGAGTTGTTACACATTCTTGTATATTATGAATAAAGCTGTTAAAAGTATTTGCATGTACATATATTCCTATTTCTTTTGGGAGAAATACGACTGGGTGACATTTCTGGGTCATAGAATGGATGTACACTTAACTTTGTAAGAAATGGTAAAAAAGTTTCCCAAAGCCATTGAACAGCTTTACCCTTGTATGATACATTTGACATTACATCTCTCTTACTCTGTTTTCTGTTTGCTTTGCCTGTTCTATGTCTCTTTTCCGTATGAAACTTTTCTTTGTATCCTTTGGATTTCATAGACTATTTTTAACATCCATTTTCCTTCAATTTTGGCTACATATGTTAATTACATTAGAAATCATAATATGAATTCTTAAGCTATAAGAGTTTAATATAAATCAAATCTTCACCACTTTTTAGATTATATAAGGATCCTAAAATGCTTTAATGTCATTTATTGTCACCTCTTGCCTTTTGTTTTTATCATGCATCTTATTTCTATAAGTACTTTTTAACCACCAAAGGTAAAATTATTAATTTTAGTCAGTATTTATATTTACCCACATATTTAAGCTTTCATTGCATTTTTTCTTCCCTGCATTTCTGTGTTTTCATCTCTTATAATATTCATTTTCCTTGAAAAATTATTTTTAATGTTTCTTTTATAACAAATAGGAAACAATTTGTTATAGTTTTAGCTTGTCAACTTTAGTTTGTTTTTGTTTTTTCATTTTAGAAGAAACCTTCACTGGTTATAGATTTCTAATTTGGCAGGTTTCTTTCTTTTAACTTAAAGGATGTAATGTCATTGTTTCCTGACTTTATTTCCACTGAGGAATTCAGTATAGGGACTATTTTGCTTCTTGAAAGTAAAAGCTTGTAATTTTTCTCTAGATGCTTTAAAGGTTATATCTTTTCTTGTTATCATTAATCTACAATTACATGAAGAACATTACGTTTTCTAGGGCTCCCCTTCACCAAGTCCCCCCCCACAAACCCCATTACTGTCACTGTCCATCAGCGTAGTAAGATGTTGTAGAATCACTACTTGCCTTCTCAGTGTTGCACAGCCCTCCCCATGCCCCCCGCCACATTATACATGCTAATCGTAATACCCCCTTTCTTTCCCCCCCATCCCTCCCTTTCCTCCCATTCTCCCCAGTCCCTTTCCCTTTGGTAACTGTTAGTCCATTTTTGGGTTCTATGATTCTGCTGTGTTTTGTTCCTTCAGTTTTTCTTTGTTCTTATACTCCACATATGAGTGAAATCATTTGGTACTTGTCTTTCTCCACCTGGCTTATTTCACTGAGCATAATCTACTGATGGACATTTAGGTTGCTTCCATTTTTTGGCTATTGTAAATAGTGCTGCAATAAACATAGGGATGCATCTGTCTTTTTCAAACTGGGCTGCTGCATTCTCAGGGTAAATTCCTAGAAGTGGAATTCCTGGGCCAAATGGTATTTCTATTTTGAGCATTTTGAGGAACCTCCATACTGCTTTCCACAATGGTTGAACTAATTTACATTCCCACCGGCAGTGTAAGAGGGTTCCCCTTTCTCCACAACCTTGCCAACTTTGTTGCTGTTTGTCTTTTGGATGGTGGCGATCCTTATTGGTGTCAGGTGATATCCCATTGTGGTTTTAATTTGCATTTCTCTGATGACTAGTGATGTGGAGCATCTTTTCATGTGTGTGTTGGTCATCTGAATTTCTTCTTTGGAGAACTGTCTGTTCAGCTACTCTGCCCATTTTTTAATTGGATTGTTCGCTTTCTGTTTGTTGAGGTGCATGAGCTCTTTATATATTTTGGATGTCAACCCTTAATTGAATCTGTCATTTATGAATATAGTCTCCCATACTGTAGGTTGCCTTTTTGTTCTATTGATGGTGTCCTTTGCTGTACAGAAGCTTTTCAGCTTGGTATAGTCCCACTTGTTCATTTTTGCTTTTGTTTCCCTTGCCCGGGGAGATATGTTCATGAAGAAGTCGCTCATGTTTATGTCCAAGAGATTTTTGCCAATGTTTTTTTCTAAGAGTTTTATGGTGTCATGACTTACATTTAGGACTTTGATCCATTTCGAATTTACTTTGGTGTATGGGGTTAGACAGTGACCCAGTTTCATTCTCTTACATGTAGCTGTCCAGTTTTGCCAGCACCATCTGTTGAAGAGACTGTCATATCGTCATTGTATGTCCATGGCTTCTTTATCAAGTATTAATTGACCATATATGTTTGGGTTAATGCCTGGAGTCTCTATTCTGTTCCACTGGTCTGTGCCTCTGTTCTTGTGCCAGTACCAAATTGTCTTGATTACTATGGCTATATAATAGAGCTTGAAGTTGGGGAGTGAAATCCCCCCCACTTTATTCTTCCTTCTCCAGATTGCTTTGGCTATTCGGGGTCTTTGGTGTTTCCATATGAATTTTTGAACTATTTGTTCCAGTTCATTGAAGAATGCTTTTGGTAATCTGATAGGGATTGCATCAAATCTGTATATTGCTTTGGGCAGAATGGCCATTTTAACAATATCAATTCTTCCTAGCCAAGAGCATGGGATGAGTTTCCATTTGTTAGTGTCCCCTTTAATTTCTCTTAAGAGGGTCTTATAGTTTTCAGGGTATAGGTCTTTCACTTCTTCGGTTAGGTTTATTCCTAAGTATTTTATTCTTTTTGATGCAATTGTGAATGGAATTGTTTTCCTGATTTCTCTTTCTATTGGTTCATTGTTAGTGTATAGGAAAGCCACAGATTTCGGGGTGTTAATTTTGTATCCTGCAACTTTGCTGTATTCTGATATCAGTTCTAATAGTTTTGGAATGGAGTCTGTAGGGTTTTTTATGTACAATATCATGTCATCTGCAAATAGTGACAGTTTAACTTCTTCT